CCTCAAAATCTTGTAAAATAGGATTACAGTCAGGAGTCTTGTTTGGAGTATGACTTTAATTTACTATATACAGGAGTACCAGTGGCAAACGATACTTCTAGAATTTAAATAAAAGCTGTGTTCTAAAACGTTAATACACTTCAAAGATGAGGTGGTTTTATCAAAAAGAACTGAGACAAGTAGAAATAAAGGGGTTCAGGGTACCCTGAAGGGCAAAGAACATATATGCAAAACTTGCATTTTCAGAAAACGCATTCAAACATGGACAGTGCTGCCAATCTACAAATGAGTAGTTATTAGTCTATTAGTGCAAACATAAACCAGAATTGTATGTGCATGTACATTTAGAGAATTACAGGTAAAATTTATACTTTGTTAGAACCTGCAATTCCAGTGCAGGTCAGCGCACACCACCACCAGAGGTGCAATAAGCCAGCCTTGTTTGGTGTAATCCAACGAGTCGCTACCAGATCAAGTACACTCCAGCCCCCTGTGTCCAGGACCAGCACTCTCTCTCATGGGCCACACCACCACCTGGCAATTCTTTGCTGAAGTGCTTTTGTACAGATGTTCCCATGGCTGGAATGCTTGGGGTTTCGTCCCTTTTGTTCTGCCCTCTAGAGCTTTGCATGGCATCTCAATACTGTGTGTCAAATTTTTCTCTCTTGTTTTTTATTCATTCCAGATTGCACTGAGACACAGGACGGAAATGCAATCAGGAGATTCTGTTCCTCTACTTGAACAGGAAAACTTTGGAAAACTTTACATCTTAAGACAGTCTGTGAGAAAGGAATGAAGCATTTGGGTCCCCCTCTGCAGTACAAGGTTTGGGATGGAAATTTAAGAAACTCTCTACATGCATGTAGAATTTTTATGCAATAGTCAATTATGCCAGATATATATTGCAAAGACAGAATTTAACTACATCTCCCCAGTCCTCAAGTCTGACACTCAGTCCTCTGGTACAATCCTGTTTGTAAAAAATTAGAGAAAGGTGGGCAGCCTAAAAATAAATACATACTCTGTTTTCAGCAAGTGCACCACACTCGAGCTAAAGGAGGATGTTCTGCAGTGCACCCTACTTGCTAGAGCAAAGACAAGAATCTTTTTGCAAATATTTGCAGATACTTAAAGAATGACTTTTTAAATATAGTTGTGTCTTGAATGAGTCCTAATGAGTGATGGAGAGAATGCCTTTAATACTGCTATCAGTATGCAAATCCTTTTAATATTGCTATCAATGCAACCCGTATACTATTTAATATAACAAAGCACAAGCCCTGTTCACAAAGCATCAAGTTGGCTTCACCTCAGTTAGTAGCATTCTTAGGGTAAACTAAGTAATAATATGTTTCCCACATACAAAAGTCAATATAAATTGATAGGAAGAGATAGCTTTTAATCTGGTTTCTTTGCTTCTTTCTCTGTTAGTTATTAATTTCCACCAATAAAGGTGGTACCTACATTGAAGGGAATGTAATGCTGGAACTTAAACTCTCAGTAACTAGAACTTAAACACTAGCATCAATGATGTGTCTGTGATAGTTCAGCATTGCTAGTGACACTCTTAACAGCACTTTTATATTCAGCTCAACGTCCTCACTTCACACAAGCAATATCAATCATTAAAAGCCAATTTCCAGCCTGCCTCTGGTATGCCTTATATGTATTATGCAGAAGAGTGTGGAACTTGTATTTGCAAGCATGGGGAGAGGCAGAGGGAACCTGAGGCCTTGATTCCCCTTAGCAGCAGCCAGCAAAAGCTGGTCTAGGATATTTTGAAGGGTATTAAACTGTTTTAAACATGACATAAGGACGTTGGGTGGAACTGTAATTCCACCAATTATCAACCTGGACGCTTACAGCAAAATCTTGGTGAAAACAGAACAGATAAGGTTCCAGTCATTGTAACAACACCACTTTGCTGAAAATAGGGCAAGAATTAGATGCAAGAAAATGGAACTGTTGTCACCAACAGGAAATCGCATAAACATCACAGACAGGATATTTCTGAAGAGATGGCACAGACACAGCCATGAAATGTACTTGCTACTTATCAAGACAGGGGCAAAAAAATCAAAATTATTATGCACCTCTCAATCACTTTTCCCCTTTTCCCTCTGTCATTGAGTAGCATATAACTGTTAGGATATTGCTTTACAGTTAAGGAATTTAAACTCAGGAAACTCTCACAAAGTCAGCTCATTTCAATATCTCCAGCAATGCTGATGCAACAAGATCATTGCTAACATGTGTGGGAAAGGGTCACAATCACCCTGTCAGCTAATGCCTCCAGAACCAATTGTAGAAGTAACACTTACAATTCATTCATCCATGCGTATCTGTGCAAAGAGCTACAGAATAGTCTTGTAAAACTTTGCCATGAAAAATAAATCTTTCTAGACTATAATATGACAACTTCTACCTCCGTTAATTGTTATTACTTTAGGGAATTCACCAGGACATCATAGATACGGAAAAGTATGGACGGAAATTACATAAATTGAAATACCTTCCTGACTTAATGTAGTTAAGATTACCAATAATTAACATCTTTCAAAAATTCACAAAACAAATAATTATTTTCCATGAAAACACACATGACTGTACAACTGCCTGGGTAGGCAGTTAAAAAAAATAGCTGACAAAAGAAGAGGCACATGGAAATCAAACAAGAGACGTATTGTAAATTTTTATTAATTCCAAACAGGATTCTTCTCTAGGGTAATTCACAGCCAGACTTCCATTTTTGTGCTTGGGCTTCTCTGTAAATTCACTGTTATCCTAATGTTTAAGAACCTCCTACAAGTCATCCTAATTCATGGTACGGAAACATCCTTCCCTTCTTCACATTTTCATACTATATTTAAAGGGACTCTGGCATGTTCTCTGGCAGGTGTTAACCTCTGCTACACAAAATCTTCCCTGAAGTGACGTCAATCCAGATCCCAGGATAAACCAGGTCACACCGCCTGCACAAATTTGCCATCTTGTGGAGATAGCAAAACTGAGGACTAACTCTACCCATAATCTTTCTGATTTCTTGTCAGTAGTTCTTGTATCAGCTGTGCTGGGATGAAATGCTCTGCAGAGCAGCAACATGGCAGAAAAGTTGATCAGAGTCCAGGAAATTTTTAATCCAGGAAAAATTCAGGTAGAGGAAATAAAGAATTGCTTTATTTGGTAATTCAATTAAAATTAAAGACCAAGCTGGTTTTGGTAGTATTTGTTCCTATCTGCATTAAAAAAGTTGGCTGTGGTATCTACTCTACCTCATTTCTTGATCTGATTATAAGAGCACAAAGGTGCTCTACAGTTTCCTACACTGTCCACAGTTCCCCCATCAGGCCCAACACTCGAGAAAGATCACAAAGTAGTTCATCATCCCTAGAAGGAGAAGTTCCATACATGATTTCATTACAAGCACAGGAGAAAACATACGGAAACAATATAATGGAAAATATATAAAAAAAAAATATTAAACCCCCTAAAAGAAAAAAATACACTGAGCACAAAACTACTTCCCTAACTGTACTGTGCTTTTGAATCACACCAAATGCTGGCATGGTGCCTCCGTGGGGGAGGCAGTTTGCCAGGATATTGCCATGGGCAGCTAATAATCGCCCACACACAATGGGCAACAAAGATTAAGCCCAAATATTTGAAGGTTTGCTTTAAAAATATTTTTACCATATTTAAGAAATAAAGCAGGATTTTATTCTTTCATATTGAAGCCATTAAGCCAATTTCTTCAACATTAAAACATTCTTGATTTCCACAAACCACCACTATAACTGTTTCCCTTCCCGGGTGTCCTGCCATAGTGCATGTGCACACTTGTGCAAGGCTAGTATGTCTAGGGAATTCCTCTAAGTCACTCAAGTCCTGTGCCAGGTGTTTGTAAGGATTAACCTTGCAAGGACTTAAACAGATTGGGGGTTTCTACAAATTGCTTTCAAATCCAGTTCTTAGACTGGATGATAACTGATATTACTGGATAGAGTTAAAGAAAAGCCTCTCTCACATATTCATTTTTGACTATTTCAACACTGTCATTTCCTGTTTCATGCTGGAGCCAAGGGGTTAAGAGAAGTGACAGTTTTTGTGATGTAATGATACAGAAAGACTTCTTTTCTTAAGGAAAGCAGGCAGAGGTTATATTTTCCTAACATTACCATGAATTATTTGGTTGTAGTGAAAGGCTTGATTTGTTCTTTTCTATCAGTAATTGATAAGGTCATGGAAAATGTGATACAAGACAGAGATTTGGGAAATTTTGTTTTAATACTGTGGGCTGAAAATTCTTCTGTCTAACAGTACATGTTCCCTCTGGATTAAGTAACCTTTGCAAGTTTTCCACAAACTGATTCTGCTGAATAGAAATTGATTAATGAGCTCAGACACTGAAATTGTCACTAGAAAATAGCCATTGAGATTCTAGTCAGCAATCACTAGCCCCAGGGTCAAGGAAGACCATGGACCGACTTAGCTGAAAAGAGAGCAGCCTTCATTTGTCTTCTCACTAACTTCATTTTAACTGTGCCTGGTGGCGTTGGGTGCAGCCAGGAGTCTGCCACCACTTTTTTGATAAACCCATGTACTGAGGGCTTCTTAGCTAAACTATAAAAATTCCTTCAAGGGTATAATTTCATTGGCCTGAATCTCCACTGCCTCAAGGCTTCAAGTTATTTACACCTGTGTAAAATTAGAGAAAAGTTGGAATCAAACGCAGTCTATCACTCCATGCATTAGGGGCATCATCTATGATGTTACCTCTAAAGATTCCTACTATCACTGTTGCCAGTTTCTTTTAAAAATACATGCTGTAGAGGCATCGAGCTTACTTAAGAGGGTTCACTTGACTTTCACTCTGCTTCACAGACAGCAATATAATTAGTCATATTTAATCCCTTCATATAGATAAGACTCCAAAGAGCTTTCTGTGGACAATGTTCAACTCCCCCGCCCCACCCCACCCCCCGCTCCCTTCAGAAGTTTGCATCTGCTGGCCTGAGAGAGTGACTGCAGACAAATCCATCCTTCAGCCTCTTTCAGGATGTATCATGTTCAACAGATATGAAAGGACATAAGGAAGGGGGAATCAATTCTCTTGCTGGCATGATGCCCCTTATTTGGTGCTGTGGAATAAGAAGGATGTGAGAAAAATAGGAACAGGAAAGCAGAAAAACGCTGTAGAGAGGGCAGACTGTCAGCATATGTAGGTAAGTATCACACAGAAAGGCTGGTGAGATGATAGTCTTGAGAACTGAAATCTCTGTGCCCAGACACAGTCACAAATTTTAATTATTGTGAAGGGGGAGGAGATACTATTAAGTCTTTTCCATGACAGAATGTACAAGGGTACTTTCCTACTAGATTATTATTCTACTGCTTGGAAGACCTGTGGCCACCCATGTGATAGCAGCAGCCATCCTATCTCAAATGAAAACACTATCTTTACCAGGGGAGTTTGAATTGTCAATCCTTGAACTCTGACATTTTCACTTGAACAGGACATTGAAGAGGAATTTGAAATTCCAACCTGAAACCCTTTACTGTGTCCTGTTTACCATGGATTTGCTTATTGATTTTATTATTAAAAAAAATAATGAGAGTCTAAAACATTTACACCCTATTTCTAACCTGTTCTTCCCAATTATTTTCCTAATGTGTAATTTATTCTCGTTCTTGGTTAATATTAGAAATTCACAGATTTTGGAGATACTATTGGCTAGTAATTGTCATGTCATTTCCTTTGTTCATCCAATAATTTTCCATCTGAAAGTCATCATCACTTTGCTTTTAATTTCTATAGATTGAATAAATTAGTGGATGCATGTTTTTGATAAATCAAACAATCAACTATGGACAAAATTATCATCTAGACTCAACAAAGAAAATGTAAGTTCCATGAGAGTCATACCCATTTTAAATTCAGTTTAATGTAAAGATATTGTTGTTCATTAAGAATTCTAAAAATAGATCAATGGTAGTTTTAGTAATAACTATGGATATTGGAAATCATGTAAAAGTTGTATCATATCATCATCACATTTTATAATACATGTTGGATTTCTAGAAAGACAGAAATTTGTAAATAGTTAATGAAACAGTTCATGTCTTGCCAGCTAATTTTAAATTTTTTTTTTCTGGTAGTTATTCCATCAGCAAGCAGAGATCTCTCATCTCTGGGGTTAGTCTATTTTTTTTTTTCCTGTGAGATCTTAATACATTGATCCAGTTTCGATTCTTCTACTGTCCTTTAAAAACAATACACTTTCTGATTATTCAATAGCTCTACAGCTTTAAACATCAAAAATTCAGTCCTGGGTTTTTTTTATTCAGACTTTCTATTCTCATTCTCCACTTCCTTGATGATTTCCTTCTTCCCATTATGTGCTTCTTGGGTAGATACAGTCTCTAGGGCCTTCTTTAGGCAGAGGTAATACAACTTGAAAGTTATTTTATGATATGAACATTGCTCAATCCCTGAGGTATATTTTGTTCATTGAGCTAGGGAGATGATGGTCTTATATTTTAAAGTCAGAAGGTTCCCAGCATTCATGTATCTCTGATGTATCCTGCAGCAATATGTTTAACCTCACCAGGTTTCTGTTTCCCACTTGCAAGATGGGTATCAGGAATTTCTTAGGATATTTTGATGAAAAATTTTTGCTTGTGCATGGAGTATGATGCAGAAATCCTGTACACCAAGATTGGTGACATTAGTCCCATTTCTGAAAACCCTATGCCCATGGGCAGCACAGTACCTGAGCTACTGAGTTCTGTATTTCTATACAAATGCCTATATTTCTAAATCTGTTCTGCATTTTTGAAAATGTTGCCCTTACTGTTCCACAACCACTTCATTTGCAGTTCTGATCTGAACTGCACTGCAAATCAGGTTGACTTTAAAAAGTAGCAATAAATCGTATCAAACATCTCAAGTGAAATGAATTGTATTCAACACATGCTAGCATACCATTGTGGCTTTTTCTAGCTAGCCACAAAACCAGCCAATTAACTAAAATTATGTTTTACATAAAAAGAACCTCAGACACTAAATTTCTAAGTATTAATGAAGTATATGCACAAATTCAGTATTTATTCCAATGCATACCCCGATTTTTTTTCTCTGATGCCCTCATTGCAACAATAATTGAGGTATAATAAATACTAACAGTATCTTGCATCTGAGAAAAGCAGCATTGACAGACACACAGGTTTTACTGCCTAGAAATAGAGTATTTCTAGTTATAATGATAGCCAGACAAAAAGCATACAGGCCTGAGTAGCTTCTTTGGGATTATTTTCATTAGATGTCATAAGGTCCCTGGGTACTTGTACAATCAGTAACACTTCACAGAGCCTTCACGTCTAACAAATAATTAGCTAAAATTGAACCAGAGATTTCTTACATGCATGTCATAGGTTTGATATGAATAATGAGGGAAAAGGTTAACAGAGGGTCATAGACAGTTCCCTATCTTCCAGCTTATTTATTCAGTGAAATGAGAAATTGATCACATTATTTCTTATAGAAGAACCTGATTCATTACAATCAGCTCTGAATTGGCAGTTTTTGCTTTAGGCAATTTCAGAACATTACTTATGCTTAAAGAGTTACTGGTAAGGTCATTTTACAACTTGTAATCACCTCTCTGACCCCTTCATGACCATGGTCTCAAAAGCTGAAGCATATGTGAAAACTGATAAAAGTATGCATGTGAACAGAAAACTAACAGTTAAACAAGAGGAGCTGAACAAACAAAACCACACAATTGAAGTATGGATGACCACATTCAGGTGTACTAGAAAATATTGAGAACACATTATCTCTTGCAGATCATAAATGCACATTGAGTCATCCCTAATTTGGCAAGATATCTATTGGAGGGAAAATTAATCTGATATTGCATGCAGCATTAACCAGTGGAGGGCAAGAAAAAGGAAAGGAAATGGAGACAGCTACAGGTAAGAATCTGGAGTTGGAGGTGATACTATGGGAGCTAGAGGGACAGAAAAGGCTAGTTCTTTCCCCTACGTGTAGCAATGGTCACTTACTCCCTCTTCTACTGACCCAAACTTCCTTAGCACCATGAACCAAGCTCTTTTTATTCTACAGAAGGTTTAGAACATCTTTCCAGAACTGCTCACATCACATGACAAGCACTGTGACCTCTCAGGTGCTCCATGTTTTGGAGAACACTTTTACCAAAGTTTCCTCTTGCTACACCAGTATCACTCCAATCAGTCTGCCTTTTCCAGACAGAATGAGAACTGCAATCCTTGCAGGGCCAGAATCAATTCCTTCCCAATTACGGCGATGCACTGGGTGAAACCTGGCAGTGCTTGAGAACCAGCGTCATACAAACATTGCAGAGTGCAGCTGCTGCTGGGCTCCAGATTAGATGGCAGATATTCACTGAAAGTATAAGATTCTCTTTAAATTAATGGAAATTATTTAATTACCTTTACAAAATTAAGCCCAAAATTCAGGTTAGGCACCCCATTGTGTATTGTAAGAAAAATAGTAGGAAAATTGTAGTAAGTGTTTGAGAACAGAGGAGAAAAAAAGCAGTACAGAACTTTGGCTGATTTATGACAAAAGTGTGTAAATTACTATAGAATTAACTGCTTAGCATATGACATTCATTAAAACAGCTATCGAAGAGCAACAAGTACAAAACAAAGAAACATTACATGTATATTTCAGTTGGAATAACTTCTCAATTATGCCTCTTAGCTACAGTGTCAAAAAAGGCTTTATCGCCACTTCAAAGCACAACAAAGTGGTGCTTTAAAAATAATTCTGGTGGATAACTGAACTAGGGTATGTTCAAGTATAAACTACAATACAAAATATAATCTACAGAGTACTCTTTTTAAGCACCGGAATTTCATATACTTGAGAGGCTAATGTTCAGGTCTGCAGAAGGATTTAAGCATCTAAAATGAGATTAAGAGGACTTTTTTAAGCTTCTACACCCACAAGAGCAATCCTTCAAACTTCTTCCTGACCACATAGATGCCAGAAGTCTGTAATTGCTTATATGTCACTTAATAAAGTTTACCAAGTGCTTAATAGTCTGTTTTGCACTTGCTGAATACAGTCTTTTCACCAGCAGAAGGAAGCAGTTTGAGATTATCTAGCAGTTTAAAATGACATGATCAACAAGGCAGCAGATGTCTTATGTCCCCCAAGAACCAATGCTTCCAAAGCACACCAGTCTGGTAGGTGTTGTCAGGACATGTCCAATGTATATCCACAGGAGAAAGGTGTGATCAAAGAGGAAGACATCTCCGTTTTTATTCCATAGGATAATGAACACATGCTCAAAACCTTTCTTAATCTGAGAGAATCCAAAAAAGTTTATTTTCTTCCAAGAGTTTACTAATCATGTACCCACAGGCTGCGAAGACCTAAGAAGGTACACTGAGCCAGTGGAGAGGAGGATGATTCACAGGAACAGAGAAAGGATTAAATGACAAACAGCATTCTCCAGCCCAGTGATTCATCTGGAAGAGAAGAGTTATGGATTCAGGTGCTTGTGCTACTTGTTTGGAATTCAGTGTCTCAGTTTGGTCACAGCTGTAGACGGAGTAAGAATAAGGCACTTTATTCTCTCTGTTTAATTCAGCATTGTAGATTTTGCTTATGGAACAAGGTACCTGAATTTGAAGCATAGTGGCTTCAGCAATACCTCTGGAGATTTTGTCCTAGATTCTTAAGCTCATCGAATAACCAAAAAAAAAGAAAAAAAAAATTTAAAATCATATCTCCATGTCTTCTTGAATGTGTGGTTCACTGAAGCTCACTTAAATCGGACATAAATGCATAAGAACAAATTTTAGACATTTTGTCAGCATCTTCTTTGAAGGTGGCCTAAATGGTCTTATAACAGTTTTCACCTTCCTTTAATTTGATTTGCTGATGATTCCAATAATTTAAGGGAGAGGAAAAGCACACCTGAAAATGAACAACGTGTAGCATGTTCTCGACTGCAGTTTTGGTATCTGCTTTAAAGGTATTGCTTAATCATTAAAAAGCTATTGGCAACAAAGTTGTAGAAATGAAGGTTACTACTAAAACTGCCCTAAAAATTGCAGATAAGAGTGGTTTAAAACAGGACTGTAACAATCATATAAGTCAATTACTGGTAGCTGTACAGGTGAACGTTGTAGTATGCCCGCTAGAAAATGGACTCACACCTGCAGCTTCCTTATCTTCAGGATGCTTAATTTACTGAGATTTGTCCAACGTTGACAAGGAATGAGAATTGTGTGGTTGGAAAGGAAATCAGAAATATCCAGTTTAAAACAATAGCCAAGAACCTCATGAAAATGTGTGTATTTCACTAATAAACACTACTTCAAACCTGTTTGTGAATATATATTTCATTCGACTTTCTTGGCACAAGATTAGCCTTTCTGGTCTATTTATGTGAAGTATGTGAGTAAAAGGTCAACAGCAGCAAATCCAAGTATCAGCTACATATTTCATACACTCCTTTTCAACACATCTAATGCTATCTCTATTCCTCACAGCTATTCCATTTTGTACCAAGTAAAAGACTAGTGGAAGAAGAACTACCCAATACTTTCCAGTCCCTAAAATTGCCACCCTTATACAATTTCATTTAAGACAACGATTTTGACAGTTTCTTCCCCTTTGTTAGGTCTCGTCATATTGCTAGGCTGCTGCTTATGTTCTTTCACACAGCACTCATAGATTTGAACCTTCTTCGGTATGACTGTGCAGCAGCTTTGGCTCTGGACAAAGCTTTTCTTGCAACAGGCTTTCCATTTCTTCACAGACAGGATGGGGCAGTCCAGATCCCATAGACACATGAGAGCAAAACAGGGCTCTTTTCTATCCCCACCCCTTTTCCAGAGCTTCGACTTTGTCAGCATGCTGGATTTACAATTTATATCTGCTAGGACATACAGTATTTAAAACAACCAGGCATTTTGCAGCAATTCTAAAAGCCAGTCACTTTTTTTTTACCCTGGCTAGCACAAAAAATACGTTGATCTAAACAAAATAGCACATACGTACGCAACCTCAGAATCTCACAAGTGCTCTTGCTTCTATACCATCAGCTGCAACAGAAGGCTAAAGAATAGGAAAAACATTCCTGATGGAAAGATGTGCTCCAGTTCCTTTCATAACTCGTTACACCTTTGTAAGTCCTTTCAATTCTGCTCCTACTTAAACTCAACAGTTTTGAGGATTTGGCAAAGCATTAAGACCTGAGCTATTTTTTCTCCTGCTGAAAATCTTCTGGTTGGTAAAGTCAAGTTTCCTATTGTGAAGGAAAAGAAAGCTTTTTTTATTTTTTTAAATGGGATATTTTAAGATGCTCCTACATAACCAAGAGCTATCAAAATTCAGCAACAATATTTAATGCTTGGCATAGAAACAGCCCTGAAAAACGTCACTGACATACAGAGCACATACACCATTGTGACAATGTCCTAATCTTTGTGAATTATGGGATCTCAACCAGAATTCACAAACTGTACACAGACTGAATCTCCAGACTGTCAGAAATACACGTAAGTAGTATCTAACTTTATCTTGAAAAGGTCCTTATCTGTTACGAATTACAGTACATTGCCTCACAGCTCTATTACAGCATTCAGAATTGTTTCATTATTTCAGATCATTGAATACTACAGCTTATACGACACTCAGGAGGCCTTTTTCAGGAAAAACAAAAGATAATTCCTGTCACAGGTAGCTTATTATCCCTGCCCTTATATCGGTAAGTTGCAGTAGTGGCTAGAAATATTTCACCTCTATGTACTTTTCCTTGCACGATCAAAGTTCAGTCCTGCAAAAGCTTAAATAATTAATAACTTTGGAAATTTTATTCATTCAGATGTTAAAAGCCGACCAACATCTAAGGAGACAACATAAAGACCATGAATTAGCCTTGTGAAAAAGAAAAGCATTTCTCCCCTTTGGAATCATCCTCTCTAATCAATAGCTGTCTTGGGCCCAAAAGTGAATAAACAATTTTCACAAAATATGAATGTCAACAAGTCAACAGCTAAAGTATCATTTCTCTGTTTAAAGGGAGAACTAGAATCTGCCTGCATATTCAATCAAATATGTCTTTGCAAAAGTTGCACATTTTGTGGAGTCAAGAGTTCCACATTTTATTCATTGCTTCCAGGATGGACTCTCTTATCAGGGAGATAAAATAATGAAAGTGAAAAGTGAGCATTCTACCTAATACTTAAATTTAAAATTAAGTGATATTATAGAAACCTATTTTGTGAAAATATTTTAAAGGATTTCTGCTCGAATGCAGAATGAAAACATTTGAAGCTTTGAAGATCTCACGAAACATAATAATGATTTTTCAGGCTAACTGTAGACGGATCTATCCCATGATAAATTGTACATCCAGCTACAAACATCAGAGGCCCAAAAAAATAGTTAACATCCTATTTCTGCAGCAACACTATTATATCCTTTCTTCAAAGGTTCCTAAATCCCTATAATAAATTGAAGATATTTCATTTGAGACACTATCAGATTCCATAATGAGTTAAGCCTCTTTACAGTTTATTTTAATAAAGCACAGCTTTCTAAATATACAGAGGCTATAAAACATGCAGGTTGCAGCAATAATATGTTTAGTAGCCTTGCTTGATAAAGTGGAAATGTTTGCATGTTTCAAATTACGAGCAATTTAAAGTAGGAAGTAAGCAAACTAGCTCTTGTGTTATGAAGCTTGACATTGTTAAGCCTTAAGAGAACACATACTTCAAAGTCATACAGACTGAAATATGCCCTGTAAGCTTAGCAAGAGGAGCAATGCCATAATGATGTACTGCACAAAAATCACCACAAACTTCCATTTCAGTGTGAAGTCGCCTAGCTGTAAATTTCAAAAATTTACTGCTGGTCCTATTTTTAAAATTAATTCATTATTCATTTTCTTATGAAATGATTAGTGCATATAAAAAAACAGAAGAAAGCTTTCCGTTGGATATCAACTAAGAAAAGTAATCACTGTAAATTACAAATAGTAAAAAATGTACCAGCATTTTAAATTAACTGACAGTCAGAAGTATCACTCGATAACAAATCTTTCAAAAATATTAAGGTAAATTACTATTCTTTTCCTCTGCATCAACATAAATGTGGAGACTCTTTTTTCTCTTCCATGAATTTGGTATTAACTCTGCAAACATTCACACCTGTATATTTTCTGCCCATAAATAGCAGAAGTAAAGTGAATGACAGTACCTACAAACCCAAATGTTATTCCTAATTCTTCACATAACTGTAGTTAGAATTCAAGTAATTAAAATATTGCATATATGAAATAAAATGCTAAGAATCAACTAGAAACACAACAGAAATTTAAAAATCTCAACCTAAGCAGCCCCTGATTTGTCTTTCAAATCAGTCTGGAATATCATGACTTTTCAAATCTATAGCTACTTTATTTCAGAAGATAACTGATTTAGAGACGCAGCCGCATTCACTTGCAAAGACTTATTCTCAAGGATGACTGTAGAAGGAAATGTGTGCACAAATCCACAACTAGAGTTGTTACATGCATAAATGCTTACAAAAAGAACTGTCATTCATCAGTTCAGCTAATAAACTGACAGCAAATAAGACACCTACAGGCAGATCAAAAGTGTAAATGTGTATCTAAAGACTTTCTGAAAACAGGTAACTTACTGAGAATCATTGCTCATTTTGCGTCCATTACAATGCAAATGTAGCTCTCATTTTTGTATCAGGGTTCTAAACATCTTCACTTTAAAAGTAGTTCAATTTGTAGATATAAATATTATGATGCCATATATGAAAAACTATTTACCTTATTGCAAATTCATCCCATTTCTTGAATTTCAGTCTGCTCATTTTTGACTGTGAGCTGAATTTCAGTCTGCTCATTTCTGTGAGCTTTAATGAACCTTCTTATTTTTCCTTTGTTCCTTTAGTACTCATTTAGATGAAACTCACTGTCTGATGTTTGAAATCTTTATCACACACCACACTGAATATTATATGTAAAATGTTGTTGGGGCCTTATAAAAATAAAGATTCTAGAAAAAAATGTCATCACAGAACTGAGTTACTATTTCTATCCACTCTTCCACTCTGTTGGCAAAAAAAAAAAAAAAAAAAAAAAAAAAGGGCAGGGGGAGGTGTTCACTTAGCGGCTCCTCTAGTATTTCAGAAAAGAATCGTCTCCAAAGCCCTTTTACCCTTAGTATACACAGTACACCTGTGAGCACAGAGGTGCTTCCTTTGGAAATATTTTTAGTAAACAGCAAGAGTTAACAGATCTTACCTTGAGCATATCTATTTCTGAGAGACCATTAAGTCATATACAAGGATGACACTGTAAGCTAACTGAACGAGATATTAAAAATTGACTAATTTAACGGCAAATCCTAACTCACAGTGGTGCTTCTGAAAATCCCTGTCTGAATGCCTGAATATGACAAGTGCCACATTTTAAAAGCCCTGATATGTAATGAGCGTTGCTTATGTAATCCAACTTGAGATGCTACTTGAAAGACTTCTAGCGGTCTTACTGTCAGTAAGAGAAATTAATGAATGAATGTGTATTGAAAATATTTGACGTTTTTATATCTTGTTCTGACACTCTCAGGTCCTAGAGCTGCTGAATACAGAGAATCACAGAGATGCCTTTCACTGCTTCACAGATGTTTGCTTAGCAGCTGTGTAGGCACCAGAGTGCAGAGCAGCAGGTGAGCTAACCCGCTCTGCCAGGAAGGTCTGACTAACTTCTTCACTGCTATCTGCTCTTACAGAACACAACTGTTACGGGACTCCAAAACTTCAGTATTGCATCATGGTTCATAATGTAGGCTTTCTCACTGATGTACAGAAGTTTATGGCAGCCTTCACAAATGAAGTTTTATTAAGCTGAGTTTAAAACATGAAGAAGCAAAGACTTGCCAAGTGAGTTCAAACAAAGCTGGTGGTAGAAGCAGACACGTAGCACCGGATTTTGAGTTCCAACACCTTTGCTTACATGCTAGGAGACTGAACCTTCTCTTTCAAACAGTTAGAAAACGATAGCGGCAGCAAATCAGTCTTTGTTCAACCAAAGCTACAGAATTCTTTTTTGTGCAAAATTAGATCTCTCCGGACACTATCTCTTCAAGCATACATGATGTATGCAGTTTGTCTTTTTTCTAAAAAACAAGAAACATTAGTCAATTCAGCAGAAAGAGTGCTTGTGGATTCCTGTGGGCTCATATCATCACAAAAGGAACTGACTAGTTTGATCCAGACTGTATGCAGGTGATGATATGTCCATCCTGCTGATTCTGATTTAATAAGCAGCTTCAATTGGCTATAAAATAAAAACCTGCATCTTTATGGGTCTGGGCGCTTTTTTTGTTTGTTTTGGGGTTGTTTTTTTTTTTTTTTGTTTTAGTTTTGGTTTTTTGTTGTTGTAAGTCATGCACATTGAGAATCAGAATGCTTTGTCAGATAATGCTTTCAGTTGATGCTTTTGGAGACTTGAATGCATGTAGCTCCTGACAATGATTATATGCACGTGTTCCATATAATTCCAAAAGCACACCCATTATGAAAGATTAGTACAGTTGTGCTTATGATGTATTTAGGTCGTCTGTTACTGAATATTTCTACTGTCAGTACAACAAAAGTGTGATGATCACAGTTAAAGCTTAACAAAGAAAATGCTGTCAGGCAATTAGTAAGCTGAAGTCAGCAGTACTAAAGTGAAATATATCATGTTTGGAATAGCGGAGTGGTTTGCTTGTGATAAATGTTGAAACAGGTCCTCATACACAAAACATATCCTAGCCTTGGAAAAAGTTTAGTATGTGAAAAAAAAAAAAAAAAGAAAAAGATGGCAACACAGCTTTAACTTGTTTTTAGACTTCTCAGTTTTCTTTAGAAAACAGCCTCAGCCACTGGGCATCCAGGAAAGCAAGTATTCATTCATTCATTCTAGCACATTTGTCTTTTTACGAAAATCATGAAAACAGCACACCTTAGGAAAAGACTGCACTACAAACATATATCTGCCTAAGAAAAAGGGAGAGTCTATCAAATGAATCATCTCAAAAACTGCAGAAATTTTTGAAAAAATTCAAGTAAATCTTATTCTAGAAAGACTATTACATAAAAAAAATAATTTGGCAAAGCCTGGTAATATTCTCCATTCCATTGGAGGGAATACGAAGGTAGAAATACAGTAAATTCAAAGCCAGCATGAAGTCTTTCCAAAGTCTCTAAGACTTCCCAGTCAACAACTAAGCAATTACAAAAGCTATAATGAGTATGTTTTTAGAAAGGAGTGACGGCTAAATTCAGATACAGCCTGACCAAGCAGGATTTCATCCCAAGTTAGTCAATACTGGCTGACTTACAGTAGGTCTCAGTTTGTTCTAAACTGTTTTACTGGCCCCATTTTTTAACTGTCAGACTTCGTTCTCCTTAACCTAGTTATCATAGGTATGAAAAAACCCTACTATATCATACTATAGGATATAGGGCAGATCATTCCTGACCAGAAATTAAGCACTTATAAAATCAGTAAGATACAGTTCAGAAACATGATGCACAAAATGAGAAAAGCTAAAGCAAAAATAAGGCAGGCCTGGAACAGAGGGGAATTTTTTTTTTAATCCCTATTTCACTTAAACTACCTAAATTACCAAAAATATTCTCAATATCAAAATCAACATAACCTGAAAGATTCCTGGACAATATACAAAACAAAACCGTAATCAGAAGTAACTATACCAAACCACAGAGATTTCACCATCTAAGCTGCAAAAGAATTAGGTCTGTGGTATTAACAAGTGCGACATCAGGAATTGTGAGAGCTGTAAGGGAGAAAGAATTGGTTTTGTTCAGTGTTGTAACTGCGATGGCAGCAACAAAATATATCTGAGTTAGTTTTACTTCAGATATAGATAGCAATGAAAACATGTTAGCACTGATGAGGATGGTTGCATGATGTCACTGGAGCTCTGCACCCATCCTCGACAGCCCATGTACACTAGTGCTACATCCTTCCCGCTAACAGTAATCAAGCTACTTAAATTCCAGATAGCCACATACGTTGCTCTAACACCTGTGGCTTCTAGGGAAGCATCTTTGTAATAACATATGTAACAATTTTTTTTCCTCTATGTCTAGAACAGGAAAGAACAGAAGTATCATATGAAATGACCAAGCTTACTAGAACTGCAAAAGCTAAATACTGAAAACATGAAAATAGAATATATTCTAAGACAGGCTGTAGAAGTTTACCTGACTTAAAACTGACTGACTGACCTTAAAAACAAACAAAACCCCCACATTTGAATAAATTGGGAAGAAAGGATCCAGTGAGGGGCTGTAGACACACATTTAAAACTCGATCTCAATAAAAATCATAAAGATAGCATTACAAGGCCCTATTGCCCAGAAGCTTCAGGCCAACAGAGAATACAAGAAAGAATCACAGACACAGCCCAGCTAAAAAGTAACAGGTCAACAGCAGCACCCAGACAGCTGGTCAGACACCAACTGCTACTGACAAGCTTATGGGCAAGAAACATCAAAAAGGGACTCAAGGGGACATGGTGGGGCAAAATGAGTTTGTCATTGACATAAGGCTCATTGCCCTCAGGGTCTAGGTTCTAAACTGCTACATCTGCTCTTTTATGATGAAGTCTTTCAAGATGGATGCTGCGTATTTTATTATTTTCAACACTTGTTTCTAGCATATTTGTTTGAGGAGCATATTAAGAGTGTAAGAACATACAATGTCCACGTTGATTTAGACTAAAGGATTATATAGTCCAGTGACTAACTCCAGCTGTGCTAAAAAGCACAAAGAATGAAGCAGATGCACACAAATATATCACACAAGGACCTTGATAATCTAGTACCTCCAAGCTGCTGATATATTTACCTGGTAACACTATAGATCCTCCAGTAGGATCTACTACACGAACTTTTGAGCTAGAAGATGTATCTAAGAAAATAAGGGAAGGATTGAGTTAATGGGTAATAGTCCTGAATACATAAAAGCTGTCACTGTTTGTGGAAAAGTAGTATTAGTCACAAAATGGGAGAGACAAAGAATTAATAATCTAGAGGAGTAACTTAACGAGCTTTTCCAGAATATGGGGGTATTTAATTCTACTACAATTTTAAACAGTGAATAGACAACATGCAGCACTGGAGACCAAGGTCTCCTTTTACTGCTGTTTGGGTTTGTGTGTGTGGTGGGGTTTTTGGGAGTGGAGGAGAGAGCTACAGAGGTGGCCCCTGTGAGAAGCTTCTCAAAGCTCATGCGGCTCCAAATCAGACCTGCCTCTTGCCAAGGCCAAGCCAAGTAGTTGCACCTCTGTGATAACCTATTTAAGAAGGGGAACCTGGGAGGAGGAGTTGGAGTTGTGAGGAGAACACTTGTGTGAACACTGAGGTCAGTGGAAGAAAGGAGAAGGGGGGAGGTGTGCTGGAGCAAAGACTCCCTTGTATCCCGTAGTGAGATGGCAGGGCTGCCCCCCACCCATGGAGGTGACCATCAGAGCAGATGCCGACCTGCAGCCCGTGGAGGACCCCACACTGGAGCAAGTGGCTGTGCCCAAAGAAGGCCGGGACTGAGGGAAACCCATGTGCTGGAGCAGTTTGTCACTGGGAGGACTGTGACACACTGGAGGGACCCGCTTTGGAGCAGCTTGAGAAGAGTTGCAGCTTGGAGAAAGGACTCATGTCAGATAAAGTTCACGGAGGACTGTCTCCTGTGAGAGAGGAATCACGCTGGAGCAGAAGAAGAGTGCAAGGAGTGTTCCCCCTGAGGAGGAAGGAGCAGCAGACTGACCATAACCCACTGCGCTACTGGGGACAGAATGTGAAGGTATTGGGATCAAAGCTGAGCCCAGGAAGAAGGGAGGGGTGGGGGGAAGGCATTTTTTAAGATGTAGTAATACTTCTCATTGCCCTACTCTCCGTGGTGGTGGTGTTAGTGTTTGAATTAAATTGATGGGTTTTTCTTCCCCTAAAGAGTCTGTCTTTTGTCTGCGACCATAATGGTTGAGTCATCCTTATCTCCATCAATCTCTTGAGACTTTTGCTTTATTTTCTCCTTCCCATCCCTCAGGGGAAAGGGGTGAGCAAGTGACTGTCTGGTGTCCAGTTACCCTCTGGGCTCAAACCATGAAAACTGCTAAGACTATGTCCTTAACTGCCCAGAACTAAATTCTGAGTCTTAACTCTTGAAAGCTGGAATATTACTGTATGACTATACATAAAATGAAGGGAATCCAGCAAAGAAAAGGTTTTGGTGGAATTGTTAAAAGCATCAATACCAAATGCTTGGCAAGTAACAACTGTGGAAGGTACAACTGTTTTCATCTATATGAAGGGTACAGACCAAAAAAAGTAGTAAAAATTGCTTGGTGAATCAAACTTTCTCTCAATAATATCTGTCATTACAAGACTTATAGAGATTATTGGAAAGAATGAAAACTGGAAAGAGTGAGAAAAGGAAGTGATAACTTGGTCCAGAACTCTGTGTTTAGGAGAACCTCCTTCAGGCTGCCTGTATGGATCATACCTTCCCACAGGCTTGCAGTGAGCAATCAGTGAAGGTGACCAGTGGGAAGCAGCAAGCCACACCCTATAAACTGTAAATCACACAACCCCTCTTTAACCATTACAATAAGCTGGCAAGTGTTCCCTGATAGTCTCTTAATATTATTTAGTGACGTTTGTGCCTGTAATGCAATCCATAAGTTAAAACTCCCTGGCACTTGGCATACGCTACAGATAGTTCAACAACAAACACACACACAGTTGTACTTATCTGGCCCAAAGCTTTTTAAGGCTGTATTTTCAGGAGATGAAGACATCAGCCGGATGCTTTGGGAAGTCCACCTCTGTTATTCCATAGAAAGAGAAGAAGCTGTCCTCTGGCAGTTCTCCGTTGCAAAAAAATTCACGTTCTCACTAATTGTGATCTCTCTTACTGAGGCACTTACTTACTGTCAGACACCAACTGTGTTTGTGACACACTCATTTAATGTCACATTACTGACCTTCCACATTCTTCATTTATGAGTTGAAGGTACTATGCAGGCAGCTAGAACACATGGCTTAGGTATTTATGGATCCATTTAACTTAACAGAAAATCATCTCAGAATCTATCTAATGGCAGATGAACTAGTATAAGAGAATGTCTATGAACACTTGATACCGAATTATAATCACCATTTATCTTCACTGATACATATGTCCTTCACTATGATGGCCAACAGTCTCTCAAAAATTTCTGAAAATAATTGTTTTTAATTTTCTGTGAAGCTCTGCTTTTTGTGTCTCTAATTCTACACTTACACTTAGTTCTAATGGAAAATTTATTCTCCCAAAGGAAAAGACATTTCTCAGTTAGCTAGATAGTCCTCTGCTGCCTTTGGTTATATTATATGATAGCAGAGTTGTAGCCTTGAACTGACTTTCTATTCCACTGGAGCAAGTGCCAAGATGACAGACAGCAGAGCACACTGTGTTCCACCTGTACTGCACAGATGGTGTGCTTGGACAGCAACCACTCCAGTGACATCCTGCAAATGATAATGATACATAGATATGTAAAAAGAGGATTTAAGACTTCTATGAGTCACTACCTGCCACCAAGTGAAACAGATCTATCAGCTGTCCAAAAGTTGCGAGACAGCTGCAAAGGCCCCTGACTACACCATGAAGAGGTATAAGCATCTTAAAATTAGACGGATCACTCTCTGGAATGGTCAAACCTTTCTGTCAACTATCAGAGGAGAGGCAACCAGGACACCTGTGAAAAGGAGAA